AGATCAGGGGAGCCAACCTTCTTTTTTTTCACTATTTTCACTTCTTTCATTAGTTTCATTAGTTTCATTAGTTTCATTAGTTTCAATTCCTGCATTTCCTGCATTAGTTCGTTCCATCTTGCTTAACTGAACACAGCCCTGGACAATCAATTACACGAATTTGTTTACTGCATACCATCCTACAATTGATTCTCACAGCTCTACAATCAAACTAAATTTGATAATTTCTAACCCGAGGATTTCTCTTTTTTAAATATACAATATAAATTAATGTTCTGTTACTACTATTTTGTGTTTGCTGAATATTTTTTAAATTTTAATTTTTCTTAATTTTTACTTACTATAGATTTTGAAAACTTTTTTTTTTAATTTGTAACATTTTTATTTATTTGTTTACTTCAATTTTGTACGTTCCATGCTTTTTTAACCCTTTACAATCTTTTTTTTCACCATCTGTCAGTTACAATTTTAAGATGGCGATGAAATGTTGCAAGTTATTCTTTTTAGCAAACTTGGCTCTACAGGAAACATTTTTCATAGCCACTTTTAATCTATGTAGTTAGGTCTCCTTATTCTTACTTCGTAAGCACGGCCTATAGATATATAAAAAATATATCACTGTATACATAAATATATCACTACATATATAAATATATATAAATTACATATAAATATATATAAATTATATATAAATATATATAACTTATATCTTCTCTTTGTTCTGACGTTTTTCTCGCTTTATGATTACCGTAGAGCGAAAAACTCGTGTTTCTATAAAGCACAAAATTTTGATAAATAAGTGTGCTAAAAACTCTTGTAGAAAATATATTATAAATAACACAATCAATAATATTCTTCTTTTCCAAAAAGTTAACAATGCGAAAATAATTCTACTTAACTAAAGGCACGTAAAAAAGTCAAATAATTGTATAAATATTTGTATATACTTTTATAAATTTATAATAAAACTATATTTAATTAATATATATAGGTATGATTTATACATTAGTTATTTTTATCTTCGTTTGTTTCTGGATTCATTGGGGTTTTTTCTCATCCAGTACTTAACAGCACCGTTTGGTTTTACGCCCAGCATAGCTGACTTTGAATTGATATCGCGCATAATAAATGGAGAATATCCAGCGATATAATCGTCCGCGAGCGGATTATTTTTAGTGCGTGCTAATCGGGTTGGACGTTGATCTGGTCTTGGTTGATCCTCGCACAAAATAGGGTTGTTAGCATGTTTACCACCTTTCGGCATTGGTAATGAAAACTGTAAAACAATATATCAATATTTTTTATTTATCCTTGTGTTTTTACATGTACGTTAAATTGTAAATTAATTATATTACGTGAAAATTATATTAAGAAAAGAAATATAATTAAATTACTTATATTAAGAGAATTTAATTTTTATATATGTGTGTGTGTTTTACTATGATATATCTACATATATATCATATTGTTGATACTACCAGAGAGAAGACTGAGAGCGGGCATCTTATTGTAGTTTCTTACGGCGGTTTCAGCCGCTGATTTTAGCGCCATATCTACAAAAGTCAATCACATTGGTCGATTGGCTGATTTGACTATGCGATTAGTCAATTCCACGAGACCTACGTCTTGCGTTAAATATAGAACAGCCTTTGAGATCCACTTTTGTACATATAGCGCTAAAACTAGCGGCTAAAAACGTTGTAAAAAACTATAATAAGATGGCCGCGCTCAGTCTTCTCTCTGATACTACTTATTTGTGCGTGCGTGCGTGCGTGCGTGCGTCAGTGAGTGAGTGAGTGAGAAATTTATCTCGATTTATTCTTTTCGAATATTCTTGTAATGCTACTTCGTTATGCCTTTTTTGCTAATTGTTCTATTGTGTTTCTCATTTGAAGCTTTTTGACAAATGCGCGAACACAATATTATTGAAACACTTGATATATCATACCTTTTTTCCTCTGGCTGAGAGAGGTCTCTGGAAATTGATGTGAATCTGCTGTTTTCCGTTTTCATCTAAAGTGACTTCAACTTTTTTCAATGTCTTGTGGCCACAGTGTGGACAGAAAATTTTTGTCATGATACTAGTAGTTTTGAAGCAAGCATAACATCTGAATATAAATGTTCGCATCTGCTTGATCACTCTGCCATCCATTGCGACTACATTCAGTCCCATTTGCAAAAGTATATTTTGAATTGCAAAATCCATTGTTAAACATGCGACAGTCGCAGTTTTCTCTTCAAGAATTTCAGAATCCATTTGTTTTTTCACGTTTTCGAGATTTCCTAATAAAAGATAAATTAGTGAAAATTGACACTTGCAAATTATTCGTGCATCAACTTTAATCAAAAAGTTCAAAGCTTGCCTGGTGTAATCCAACCACTATCGTCGTAGTCATCTTTGTTTTCACTTACTACATCGTTTTCATCATTTCCAAATTTCGCATCAACCGGAGCAAGAATGTTATCCATAACATCTTCATTTTCATTTTCAACTTCTAGATCTGTCGGATTGCATGTCAGTTTCATGAATTGTTTAGACAAATCATTTGTCTTATTCTCTTCAGTATCTGACTCTGCTGTTTCATAATCCGATTCATTCGAAGATGCAGCAGATACATCGGATATATCAAATGCATACGAAACAGGTTTTTCTTGCTTTTCTGTATCATTTGTGTTATTTACTGCTAAATTCTCTATGATTTTTCTGCATATGATAGTTTCTTGGGCATTTGTTTCTTTCTTATTATTTGAAAACGTTGCTTTATGATTATTTGCATTCGATTCCGTTTGTTCCTAAAACAATGTATAGAATAATAGTCACTAATTAAGAACATATCTACAAAAAGTATACATCTATGTATAGGAATTTATGAAAGTATGTTACTTCATTTTTTGGCGTATAAAAACCAACTGGAAGCTTAGGATTACTTTCACTTTCTTTTTCTTCTGTAGATTTGATAACTCTTATCGTTGGAGCATCTTTCAAATGTGCTGTTCCAACTTTTTGTTTTTCCAATTGATAAGTAAGTGCAATTACTTTAATATCAGTAGCGGACAAGCTTGTGTAATCACCGCTTTTCTTAGAAAACTCAGTTACTATAAATACATTGAAAATATATATAACATTAAGACAAAATATATTAATAACACCTAATTATTTTAAAACCAAATATTCTAAAGCTGAACACAATTATTTTATTAGTATCAGGTTGCTCTTGAAATCCTGATGAAGTGAACTGAAATGTTCACAAAACGTCGGTATAAAAATGACAATGACGTGGTTCAAACTCGAAAAACATCTTCGAATGTTAATTTTATTATCTGCATGTTGTTTTCATACTTTTAATACATAGAATGTCCCATTGTTTTAGGCAAATATTTAAAAAAAATATGGAAGATACAGAAAACTATTGCAAGATATAGGATATCAAGAAAGATAGATGATACTGATACTTGTTTGATCTTGAGATTATCTTAAAAACTTCTAGCAAGTTAACTTTAAAATTTTAATTTTCTGCTGGCAGATGTCGGGTCTTTTAAGATCCATGTAATGATTCTGGGAAACTTTATTATGGATCAGAAATGACTCAGTGTCTGCTACGTAAGTACATAGCTGTCACACACACTTTTGTTAAAAGGGAATCTGCATTTTTTATTGCATATTCTTCATAGCTAATGGTAAAACATTTCCAAAATATATTTTTTGAGATATTTGCTATAAACAATTACAAATGAAATATTCTGTATACTTAAATAAAGAATGTATTAATAAGTTTTATTTACCAAATTTAATGTTTTCAGGAAAAGCTTCTTGAATTTTTAAATCATATGGTAGTACAACCAATCTCCTTAACTGTCTCTTGCTTGTAATCTCATTTACAACAGCTTGTTCAGTTAAAATATTATCTCCAATATCCTAAAAATCATTTCAAATGAATGATTACTATATTAAATTACATTAAATTTAAAACATCTTTTGGTAAAAAAATATGTACTATTTATAAACATACATATCCTCACACCAGTGATGCCAGACTCAAGCCTTCTGGAGATTGATTCTGTATCCATGCAATATAATGAAAATTACAAAAGTGAGCAAATTTACTAGTTGTTTTTAAAGAATGAAATAAATTCGGTTGTAGGAGCCATTTGCAGGGTGTTGTGCAGAGAATGTGCTTAAATATATATATATGTGTATATACATATATACGTCGAAATAATTTTTTTCTTCCATATAGGATGCTGGATTTGCATCACATATATATAAAAAAGACTCTATATACCCCCCTAATTTTAAAATATTGCGAAAAAAACTCAGCCAGGAATCGAACCTGGAATCTCCGGCTTTCCGGGCCGTCGCCTTACTAGTTGTTGACCAATGAGATCATAGATGTTTTAGTAAATTTGTTCATTTTTGTCATTTTCACTACATTGCATGGATACAGAATCGACTCCCTTGTAGCATAATTGCATGAAAAAAATACGCATATATCTTCATACCATGTGCGGCATACGTACACGGTATGAAACTGTGTACGTATCTCCTCCATGTTACCGCATGCCTCACATCTATCGATCCACTTACACATACCACGCGCGCGCGCGTGTGATGTGTGACATACACACATATATAAGTAACCATGCTTATAACCTTACTTTTAGACAATATTTTACAAAACAATTACCTGTAAAGCAGCATTTTTTATAAAAGCACTTGTATCAACAATAAGATATTCTACTTTTTTCTTACTATCCATGATACTCTAAAACAATCTGGAAAATCTTTTTTCTCTCCAAAAGTTGCTTTAAAACAAGACTTAGTCACTTCGGTCGCTTTTAGGTTTGGTTTAGTGCGCATGTGGCTCTTGGATCTAGAACGGTTAATCCATACGCCATTCTGGACTGCGTTCGAAAATCTTACTCAATAGGGCGACGTCCCATTGAGCGGAAATCTATAGCGGAACGGAATGTGCGGAACCAGCTCGACCAATCATAGCCATTCCGTTTTCTTTCCTTCGCTTATTCTGTGGTTACGATTGGTCGAGCTGGTTCCGCACATTCCGTTCCGCTATAGATTTCCGCTCAATGGGACATCGCCCATAGAGTACGGTAATGTTAAGCAGGGTTAAAACAAGAACCCAGCCTGGGTAACATCAAAATAAGCGATTTTTCGAACGTACAAGGTGAGACAAATAAAAATGGCGGAGCATAATGTTCAACGAAATCGAATATTATTGCTTTGTATAATAATAAATAGTTACAGATTATTAGAAATATTAATGAAAGTTATAGAAGAAATAAGTGAAAGTGCAGAAACAAGTGAACATGATTTTAGTGAAATTGTTTTACCAGAAATTCAGCGGATCCGAGAAAAACGGCACAAACCTGCGCGGATAACAGGTTATGTTAATAATGTAATTCCTCGTTACACGACAAAATAGTTTCGGCATCATTTTCGAATGCTACCTGAAGTTTTTGAGGTTCTAGAAAATCGTCGAGGACAATCATTATCTAATGCTGAAACTGTAGGACGTAAAATGATTCCTGTGCGTACACAGCTATTGTCAACAATCTGGCTTCTTAGTACACCAGATTTCTTCAGGTATATGATAATTTTTGATTAAATATATGAAAGTAGCTGAAAATAAATATTTACAATGAATACTTACAATAAATGCTTACAATGATTACAAATTTTTTATTTTGTTAAAATTTTTGTTGATTAAGAATTTTTATTGACCAGATCCATAAGTGAAAAGTTTGACTTAGGCAAATCTTCTCTGAATGATTGTGTACGTCGTGTTATCAAAATATTGTACAGCTTTGCAAGTGAAATTATTAGATGGCCTACAGGTCCAAAATTGGTAGCTACAAAAGAGAAATTTAAGCGTATTGGAGAAGTTCCTTTGCCTGGTGTAATAGGAGCTATTGATGGTTCTTTCATATTTATAAAGAAACCAGAAATTGAGATATTCTTTCGTTTAAACTCTTATTATTCACAATCTGTGTTATTTAATAAAGAAACTGTCTAGTTTTTAATTTATAGGAAATTGCTATTCATTATAAATGCAGAAAATTATAATATGTTATAGTTCTTCAGCTATCTGTGATACTGATTTAATCTTCACAGATTGTTTTACGGGGTATCCAGGATCGGTAGGGGATTATAGAGTTTTTCGCAATTCAGAATCTGTACAAAAAAGTTTGTAGAGATTCTTCTGCTTTTTTCCCAACGGAGAATTTATTGTTGGCCATAAAGCATATCCCGTCCTGACATGGTGTATTCCTCCATTTCTAAACAATGGATGTCTTACACAAGTAAGTCTAGAAATGCAACTTTGAACAGTATGTTAAAAAAATGTCCAAAGTAATTATTTTGTTTTTTTATTAACATGATACTTGTCTGTTTTAGGAGCAAACGAATTTTAATAAAGTAGTGTCGCAAAAACGGCAAGTTACAGAAAGAGCTTTTGCTCTATTAAAAGGACGATTTAGACGTCTCAAGTTCCTTGATATGTCTTGTTTGGCCTTGATACCATACTTTATTATTGCAGCCTGCGTTTTTCACAACATCTGCCTGGAAAACATTGATGATAATGTGGAAAAGTTCGTTGAAGAAGGAAGAGAGCTATATGAAGTAGAAAATAATAATAATAATAATAATAATAATAGAGAAAATATAGAATATGATCATGAAGAACACGAATTAGTTGATGGCGATGTAAAGCGTAATTATTTGCGCCTTCGAGTTGCTGGTAGGCAGTAATAGTTTTATTATAATAAAACATTATTTTAAAAAATAAATAAAACTTTCACACGCGACTATTAAAAATTTGTAAGATCTATAAAAAAAACAATTGTCTTTAAAAATATGTGAGCATGTCAAATAAATGATACGTTGTTTTTACTTTATCATAAAAAATTTATCTTGTCATAAAACAAAAAAGCATCAAAATTCATTAAATCTTTTTTTTAAATGTTTATATCAGACTACGTATTAAACATTCAAGATTAAAATTTAATCAATCAAAACAAGAAGAGTTAAAATTTCTTTGTCCTCTCAGGTTTCAATCTCAATCTATAATGCGTCTAATACAGATACAAGTATTATTATAATAATATTAATAATATGTGTTTTTATGTGTGTGTAGTATAATATGATTTTTCTGTACTTGCTACAATGTTTTATAATAAAAAATTAAAAATAAAAATATTTCTATATTATATATTATTTTGTCTGATATTCTTTTATCTTTTTCCATTCATGAAAATACATTTTAAATGTCTAATTAAGATATTTATTATTGTTCATTTGCAATAAGAGATAACATTCAAGCGTTGAAAATTGCAGTACTGTAAGACCACTTACAAACAAATTACAGAAGAATAATCGATTATAATTGATGAATTTGTTATGGCTTAAAGCTTACTACATTTATTGTAGACCCCGACCTAAACGTTAATACTACTGGAAACCAATCAAAGTAATATATAAAATAACATAAATACTACATTATTATGCAATGTAATCCCACACAGAACAAAACTTCCATTAACCCTTNTACTGGAAACCAATCAAAGTAATATATAAAATAACATAAATACTACATTATTATGCAATGTAATCCCACACAGAACAAAACTTCCATTAACCCTTCTATGCATGATTTTTTTTTTTTTTTTTTTTTTTGTCACATATTTAGTTTACAGTTTTTGAGTACCTTTTTTTCTTCACTAAATGTTATGATTAAAATTTCCATCATCATGCAAAGAAGGGTTAAACATCCATTAGACGTCAATAACTCTATGTGATGTCTAATGAATGTTTCATGGAGGTTTTGTTCTGCGTAAGATAAAAATAAGTATTTATGCAAAAGTATATTTTTTATCTTTGTAACGATGTAAATCGTTACGGCTGGGACCGACCATTCGTTCCGGCCCAAAAACGGCGCATAGCGCCAAAATAAACTTATCAAATTAACTGCAGCATGTATAAGATACATGCTGCCGGCCTACGCGCCGCCCGCACCGCGCAAACCCCGCGCCACAAGCGGCCTGCGCGCCGTCTACACTGCGCGCTCCCCGCGCCAACAAGCGGCCTGCGCGTCGCCCGCACTGCGCGCTCCCCGCGTCTACAAGCGGCATGCGCGCCGCCCGCACCGCGCGTTTCCCCGCTCCACAAATGCCAGCTGATACCGCGCCCGCACCGCGCGCCCCGCCGCGCCACGAAACACTCAGCGTAACAAATAAACAACTGTTTTCCGCGCATCTTGTCAACCCCGCCCGCGGAAAACTGCGGGTATAAAAGCCGGGCCAAAAACCGAGAAGATCAGATCTGCTCCGATCTCCGGATCTAACGAGAAGCACCTAGGGAAGCTCCTTCTCGGTCGGGCAAACCGACGGCGACTCTGCGATCCGATCCTCACCGGGGAATCTCTGATTCTCTGCTGGGTAAACCGGCATCCGCTCCGCTCCGTTCCGGGGAATCTCTCGATTCTCTGCCGGGTAAACCGGCATCCGCTCCGCTCCGCTCCAGGTGTGACCATTGTCTAGCTTAGTTTAGTTGCTACGC